TGAGGCATCAGTCATGCCTTCTTTTGTGTTTGCATTGCAACTGTTGTAGTCCGTACTCTACTAGAAGCGAACAAATAATTGTAGCAAGCCAAATCTGGGCCAGACTGCTTTCTAATTACGCTAGAGCAATGGTGTTGGCCTCAGCGTAGATGTGCCAGTGTAAAACTGCAGAAAAACTACACTATGCATCCAGTTTTTCCTACCATTTCTCACAACTATATATTTAAATGCTACCGATTTCCATGCAATGTTCATGCATTTATCAGGCAATACATATATGCGTATGTGTTAAATATGAAAATGCCATTATCCTCATTTCACAGAAAGGAATACCCTTGAAAATAGAGACCACAGAGGTTAAAATTCACTTTTTCAGGAAAGCTGAAATTTCAGCCTAAGTATGAAAATCAGTTACCAGATTTTCAGAAAAGTTCACCTATGGAGGGGCTAAAATTCAAAAAATTTGGTCGTAAGTGACATACCTAATGTAACATAAGTAGCTGGAGACACAATGGGAAATGCGTTGGAATACAAATTATTAAAACTCACGTGAACTAAAGCATATTCTAAATATATTGCAGGTACCCACAAAGTCAGAGAATGGTTTTGAAACAACGGAGTGCTTATACTAAGCTTGTACTAAGCTGCAGAAAGACTTGGATATTCCTAACAAAGGACACGTGGTTAAGCCACAGGTTTTCAGTCTGTGGATTTCTGTAGGGTCGTGCACAAGCGGTAAGAAAGCCTGCTGTACGTTGGCCTAAATTCCCAATGAGTGGGGGTTTGCATCTGCAACGATCTGGGAGACTGCACACCAAAAACAAACAAAAAAAAAAAGTGCAGAAAACCAGTGAGCTAAACTTCAGCCTTCTGCCATACGTAATTTGGAAAACAGTGAGTCTCACTGAACTTTCATATGCAGCATGCACTATCTCAAAACTGTGTTGCTCAAACTGTGCAGAAATGAGTGGTTCCTGCAACAAGGATCCCGCTGGTTTCCTTAAATGCATTAAAAACAAATACAATCTAAAAATTGCTGATAGTTTGCCTATTATAAAGGGTCTTCACTGAGTCAAAAGGGAGGGCAGAAGCATTACTCATTTATTTGAAGACTAAAAAGCTTCTCAAGAAGCAGCATAGACACTAAGGTCTGAAAAGCAAATGGTCACAATTGGGTAACTTATTTATCATGCCTAAGTTTTATCACGCCCGATCTGTACCCTGTCTGCTAGAACTGTTACGGCTCTATAATTAAAAATAATAATGTTTTGTTCCAACATTCTTTCAAACAAAGCTGCCTTAATAAAGTTGGTTTGTAAATTAGGTGTGGACCACGACTGCCACCCAGAAAGACAGAACCCTTTTATCCAAGCTCCAGTCTACCCCCCACCCCCACATCCACCCATCCCCTGCCTACAGCACTTTGCCTATAAAATGCCTGCTAGAAGCTGTGTATGTTGGGAGGAGAAGAGGAAACGGTTCCTCTGCAAACAACTTGGCACAAAATAAGCTGTGCAAACTTTCCTGAAATGTAAGGGTATCTGTTCTATCAGAAGTAAAACCAGCCTGCATTTTGAAATGAGCACACCACTTGCCTGTCTTGTGTAAAAGGATTATTTGCAGAGGTGGTCCAAAAAGAGGCAAGTCAGGTCAGTCACTTCCCTGCATACCAGCGCTGTAGCTGCCAGCGGCCACTGCCTAAGCAAACTGGAAACAGGACACCTTGTTATTTTTCCCCTCCTTCATTAATATTCCTATGTGAATCCCCTGGGAACCGCCCGAAGTGCACAGGTGTTACCGAACAGTGCTCGCTGATCCTTATTAGTGTATGTAAGCATTAAAGCAGGTGCTTATCAGGGGTCCAGTGCAAGAAGATCACTGCAATCATCTCCCCTAATTAGTAAGCACTCAGTGACTACTTCCATGAATTTTTATTTACAGTTTGCGTCTTGAGAGAGAAAAAGTCACGTATTTAGACATCGACTCTTAACACTTCCTTTCTACTAGAGATTTCAACTTTCTTTTGGAAGCAGATTCACACAGATTCTTAGGATACTAACTGCATTTCTGAACTTGTTTTTAACAGAAAAGAGTCCATCTGTGGAGGAACTGCAGGGTGATATTCCAATAACCTCTTCCAGCCATCTGATCTGTGTACTAAAGGACGGTTTTAGGCCCAGGCTTACAAAATCGGGTGCTTTCACATCACACAGCCATCTTCAGGTTTTTGCATACAGCTGGTAAGATCGTACTGAGTGCTGGGCATGTTCTGATCCCATTCCTGTTTTGCTGGGCTGTTGCAGCCCAGGTCACAGTCTTTCTTGCCTGCCTTCTCCACCAATTGTTGCAGCCAAGTTTTATCTGTCTGTCCTTATGTTTAGGATCCAGACCAAACAGCCCATGCAATCTGTGTGGGCTAAAGAAACACTCCATAAACATAAAGCCAAGAATTAAAGTCTTAGCAAATGAAAGAGTTATTCTGAGTCTGGTTACAATCCTGCTAAGACATATAGTCCAAATTAGCCAATTATTGCACCTCATTCAATAACGATATAATTAAAACTCCTATACAAAAACTTAATACTATCTATGCCTTTCTCTGGTATCATGCTCACCCTTCCACTGGGTTCAAAAGTCAGTAACACCGGTCTTCTTTAGAAAAAGCAAGGGTTGGTTATAGCAAGTTGTCAGCATCCCAAGTTCTTTGCCATGATTACAGTGCTAATATTTATGATTTCTTCTTCCTCTTTGTCAGGAGGAGAATCATGTTGTGCATTTCTTTCTCCTCACATTTTTTTACATTCGCTAACAGTCTGTTAACTTGTTCTTTGTTGGCTCACAGTTCTGTGTTACATCTCAGTTTACTACGTTACAGGTTTTACCTATGTTGCAGATGTGTTCTTTGTTCTATTTGTGAACCCACAAAATCGATTGACTCATCTTCTAAGGCTTCATTTCTTTAGTGACCTGTGGTTGACAGTTTGTGGTTTGTGTCTACAGTCCTGAGGCCTCTGTTATTGCCCTGTGCTTGAATTTTCAAGGCCTCCACTGTTATCTCGTACGTGTATTTTGGGAGGCCCAAAACACCCTGTTTTTTTCCCCACAGCCTTCAAGCTGTGGTTTCCAGATAATTTAACTAATGTTTTATTAATACAGCCTAAGCACCTCTAGCCAACATCTACTTGTTTTGGGAATATCAATGGTACGTTATTAAAATTACTTTATAACTGGGCAAAACACCTCTCATTTCTTAGTGCTCACCAAAAAGCACCACACAAGGCTGGCAGGAGAAAGCCCTATTAGAGGATGCTAAATTGATTTTTTTTTACACACTCCGCAATTGACGTATAGGAGCATAGGCCATGCACCAATCTGCCTAGATACAGATTGGACTAGGAAATAATGTGTTTATCTATAATGATATATTTATCCTTCCATTTCTATATCTATATAACTATAGATGACTGTAACTTTCAAGCAAAAGTAACTATGAGGGAGTGTTTCTGGATGTCATTCATCGCAAAGCTAGCATAATGGAATGAAAATACAGAGGCTCGTAGCCCACCATTGGAAAACATTGTTTTTGTGTGTTTGGCATGAGTTTCAACAGTCCAATATCAGAATTCCTTTCTCATTCCTGTTAGAGACACCCCCGGGTCAACTCGCTTAGCTAAGCCTTGCTTCATTGCTGTACCACTGCTATGCTACTCTTTCTATATTACCCTCTTGAGAGGGGCAGGGAAAGAAGGTGGTCTAGAACTGTGAGTTTCCATTCATTTCTCTTCAGTTACCTAGAAAGAAGCTCTTGGTAACTTGACATATGGCAAGTATGTTAAGCTTAAAGAGCTGCGAACTTTGGATAGTTTTGAAAAAGTTAAGTTTAACTATAGTTAAGTGGGAACAGTTGTTTTGCATCGAACTAACAGATCAGCTATTTTAACAAGAGAAAGTCATCCTCCTGTTTAATAGAGGTGGCAAGCAGAACCAAGAATCTTTGTCTTAAACTTTTTAGATTGTATTTTTTATCACTTTATTTCTGTAGTTTCTGTGACCCATTAATAAACACTGGAGCCTTTTTAGGCAACTCAAGCAGTGTTCCACTGGAAAGTTGGCAACTCGGAGGGGACATACCAAAGGCAGATGCTGGCACTGAAGCTGAATTTGCCTATTTTACTTGATACGCCGGGCATCGTTTAAATGGGAACTGTTTTATCAGTCACTATATTATGGAGGCAAAATTCAGGAAAGGAATCTGCTTTTGCAAGGGAAAAGTTCTTGCAGATTGATCACTGATTTAAGAATATAGCCAAAGCTCAGAAGGAGGAATTTCCTGCAGCTATGAAAAAAACCTGACTACCAGGCAAAGAATCTAGCCTTGATCCCTACTAAGTCAGTAGCAAAACTCCTGCCAACTTTGATGACAGTAAGACTATAACCATTAGGGGTTAAGCAGCAGTATTTATAGAGATTTAATACATGAGGAACATCCAATCTGGAATAATTATCATCCCTCTAATAAGGGGTTCAAATTGCAGCAATCCTGACTCAATCTCTCATCTGCCAAAAACAGATAAATAGAGAATTGCGAATTTCATTGCATCTGGCTGTTTCTTATGAAACCAAAGTCCTGCCCACTCAGCTTGGGCACAAGCGAACCCACAAAGGATGGTATGTTTTGTAAGAAGTTGGGAGGCTGTCCAAGGGTTGTCAGCCAAAATCTCCCTTCCCTACTATTGTCATATAATGTGCTGTTAGCATGAGTGCTCCTACTACTCACACAGTTTCCAAATGTGCTCAGTCCTTACTCAGGCAAAGACCCTTGAAGGCTACGTGAAGCTTTGCCTCCGTAAAGACACATTTGGGGCCTTCTATTAACGGAAGAGACACCATGTCAGTGTGTAACTGGAGATACAGTGCTGTATCAATAGTGTACTATAGAAATACATGCCCATCAAACAGAATCTCACTCTTGAAAAAATGTCAATGGCACTTAACGCAAAATGGCTGGGACTACGTACACTTACTTCTATTTATTTATAAAGACCAGAAAGCAAAGGGCAAAAACTCCTGAAAAACGTAAGTTACTGAGTGATTTCATGTCTCTAAAGTCTTACGTGAGTTAAAGTAATGAAGGAAGATCAAAGATAGATTATTTTCACTGAGTGGTGCCTTGAAGAGATGGTAAGCATTACACTTCTGATGGAATGGGTGACTTTACTGCTACAAACTCCAAGCGATCAATATGGCGGTATCTCCACAGAAGGATGGAGGGACTTCATCCATCCAATCAACTACCAGAGGCTTGGAGAATAGAATTCACAACAAGGAAGGCAATCATTCCTCTTGTAAGTACGAGCTTATCAGTCTTTGGGATAGTTCCAGTAAAAAGACTTGAGTGCTTAAAATGGGATGTAGCCTTATGAAGGGACTTCAGACTAAAGCTGCAGTTCAAATAACTTTGCTCAACTGCTGTCCAACCCTGATTTCCAAAGATGCTTCCTTGCTTAGCTGTAAAGATTTCCTGCAAGTGCACATTTTTGAATACGCTAGGTAGTAACCTAGTCTTTACCGAAACAAACAATTCAATGCTTAGTTCACACCTGTGCTTGGTTGGGATCCAAAACTTTGATGTTCTTCTGCCCAATTTTCCTAAAAGGCTTGCCCCTGTAGACATCTACAGAGTCTTGAACACTGACAGGATTGGGACTGTACAAAACGCAGCTGTGGCCATCATGTTCTTTCAGACATTTGCTCCCTCACTCCCTTTATGTGATGACGTATGGCAGTAAACACCACATTAAAGGTTCAGGTGTGTAGTTTTCACTGCTGAGCAGTGCCGTTGTAAACATGAGATTAATCTGAGGAGCGGGAAGTAGGAGCACAGTATTGTCACCTGCTGCAATGGTGCTAAACAAGGGAGAACTGGGCTCTGGCCCTTGCTTAAGAGCATTGATTTTATATCTTACAGAAAGAAGTACAGTTTCCGGTGTTGGGATGGGCACCCCTCTTAGTGTACTCACAGCCAAGTTCAGACACACTTGTCCTTCTGACCCCATGAATCTCGAATGCTTTTCTCTACTGCTTCCAAAGAGTAGAACACGAATGGCGGGTGGCCCCCACCAATGTAGCCATCAGCCTGATGGTTAGGCTGTGTTTTCCTGGTGAGACAGGAGTCACCATCACTGAATACCTAGACCGAGGAGGGAACCGAACCCAAGTCTCTAATTTTCTAATTGTTAAGCTAGTACACAAAAGAAATCGGCAGCACTATCACTTCAAACAAAACTTTTCATTTCTCTGTGAGAAAGGATGTCAGCACCTCTCTTCTCAGCTGAGGTTCCCAAGTGGTTAGACCTGCCACTGCTGTTCTGAGGTAGCCTTCCCTGAGGTCAGAAATGGTCCAGATATTAGACTCACTCTATTCTGAATGTCTCCTATCGGCTAGCTTCAGGCAGCCGTAGGCTGGCCCTGCTGGATTTAGACTCTGCTCTGCTCAGCCTGCTGCTTCTTCTGGATCCCATTAGGAGGTGCTTAACTTCCCATGGAGCCTAACATGGGTTCTGGATTCCTCTCCTGTGTGTAATATCTGCCACATAATCAGAAACAGATCCTGGCCCAAAGCTCTAGCCAGCCAAAAAAGGAAAAAAACAGATTGGCTGACATTCCGCCAGGGTTACACTCTCACAGGCATACTGATGCCCATGGGATGACAGAGATGTAAATTAATTTGGTCCCAGTATTATCGCTCGTAGTTGAAGCATTCAGTTGTTTGTAACAAAAATAAAGTTGCAGTGGATATTATGAAACATGCGGGCCTTTCAGATACTTCACATTGTGACAGCAAGTAATGTTTCTGCTTAGGTGTTTTGGTGAAGCTGGAACTACAGTGCCATGACAGTCAGCTCTTATGGTAAGATAACATTTCCCCAAAAATTAACTTCTTGAAATATCTGAAGCACTACATTCAAATAAAGGAAAAGAAAACCAACACAACTTCAAATAAATATCCTGCTAAGTACAAGAAACCAGATCCTCAGCTAATATAAACCCTTTAAATAGAACATATTTAAGCAATTTACAGATACTGGGGATCTTTGCTCCAGAATAAATAGAACTGAAAATAACGATTACTTTTTTTCTACTCCCTCCTTCTTCGCCATTCATTTTGTTTTGATCTTTCCCAAGGACTGATACAAAAGCAATTGTGTCCTTGGGTAAGTGTGCAACAGCCACGGGAATCTGGGGCTTTTCTCAGCAAAGGAGGAAAAAGAAATTTTGGAGCTACCTACAGCTTTAAATAATCTCCTTCTATTAAAAGTGGGGGGTAAAAAAGTCTGACCTTGCAGCTAGGTACTTCTGAGCTGGGTAATAAAGTGATCAAGTGATCAATGCACTAGAAAATCATTTGTATCAAACCAAAGAAAGAACATATTTAAACCACCGTGGCTGAGCAGATTTATGTACCTATCTAATTTTACCTTCTGTGTGCCCCGTTAAGTTACTGCGGTAAAGAGTATTACACAAATGCCCTACTCTGCTCAGAAATTAGGGCCTGGACGTACACGCCACCGGGATGCAAAGAACGCAGCCAAGCTCTCATTGACTTAACAGTAAGAAGAGGATAATATACCATAGTCTGTCTGTCCTTCTGCCTCCGCTTGCAACCCCACACTTCTGTTGAGACTATGCGCTTAGTTCCTGAATTTGTGTCAATTGTTTTGTAAAGGCTGAAGTCATTGAATCTGAGGTCATCTAAGCCAGGCCCTTACCTGCTCCAAACTGGCAGAACTCTTCTTACTTCAGCCAAGCTAGGACAGTCAAGGGTGTACGAAAGCGAGACTGGTAGGGTTTCTGGAGAACTCCTGCCTCTTTTGCTATTGCGCACATCCCTCCCATAGAATACCATTCATAAACTGGAAGCTCTCCATCTTAGAATTAATTAGGTTTTCTGTCACTGTCCTAACGCGCCAGAAAGCTGTTCCAGGGTCTGACTACTCTGCTGGTTTGAAAACATGAAGTAAAAAGGCACTTGAAAATAGCAAAATAACACTGGAATGGAAAGGGGCCTAAAAAAGTCCATTATATCACTTGAGTTTGCTGCCAAAATAAAGTCTCTATTTAGTAGGCATCAGCCCAGCTGGTACTTAACTTTTAGTAACTATTGCCATTTCTCTAAATAGAGTGAAAAAATGATAGTGTCTCACGTTCTTTCAGACATTTTAAATGTAATTGTGACACCTCAAAACATTTCTCCTTCCTCACTTGTTGCTTGAAGATACATGACCATAAAAGGGACCGATTGCGATTTGACGTGTTACCGCACACTAGCAGTGTCATGGCAGCAAATCTCTTAGCCTCCAGCAAACATGAAGTCATCTGCTTAACCTGCTCTATAGTGGATTACCTTAAATCACATTACCTTCCATTTGCCTCATACTAAGCATAGACACACAGATATTTAGCTCAGATAAACCGATTTTGCTGCTGAGCCTTTAGACGAGAGGACCTCAGTGGGTTTTCCACCTTGGGTCAACTGCTGTGATCTGCCATTTCAAGAGATGGCAGCAACTCAGCCTCTTCTTCCCAGATTAGGCCCAGAGAAAGGCTACTAATAAAACTCATGAAAGGCCCACCACTAAGCAAAACACACAAGCTAACTACAGACCCATGGGATGAATGAAAAAGGTTTTCTCACAACTTATGTGCCATCTCATGACATCTCAGCCAGATGTGTATGTTGGAATTAGTTTACGAAGAGCAGAAGTTGGTTTTTTTTTTGAGAAGCGTGTCTGCAAGATTATGTCACTTTGCTGCTGAGTGTTGTTTCGTGGTAGAATGGCCGCTGCATTCTTTCCAGTGCCGGCAAACCTACAAAATTTGGTGTGTGAAATAAAAATCTTCGTCAATATTATATATTAGCGGCAGGACATGCAAAAGTTAGATTATTTTGTTTAAACCTTAAAATAAGCACTGAATCCCCGCGAAAGACTGTGACAGAATTAACTGGACAAAACCAGTTTCCCAGGGTCTGAAGTTCCAATGGCAGCCACTTAGCCGAACACAAGTGAGAAATAAGCCAAGAGTTTTCGTCCCAAATAAGTAAGGTTTTACCAAGTAGAACCTAAAATAATGTTAAAGTAGTACTTGTTTAATAATATTACAATGTTAAATAAACCCTAAGATTGATAGTTCCCTTGTAAAAGATAAGTTTTTTAATGACTGTTTTCATCTTCTTGTACCTTAGAACCACAGTGTGCTGTAATAGTAATTACCAGCAAACAGCATCCTTTGCCTTTGACGTGCACTTTTGAAGCACCAGGATGACCAGTTAAAATCACCTTCAATTCCTGGACTTCTAAGGTATATTTTTTTGCATTTCACTCAGCTCTTAAGCAATCCCAGAAATTTCACGCGCCCTTGAACTTCAGCGTGAGGCTGAAGCAGCGATTTAAGCTTTTCCTTCCCAGCCCTGACCTACCTCCATTCCTCATCCTGCAGCAGAACGATCATGGCTGGGGCAGGAAACTACAAAACCTGGGGGCAGATTCGGCTCTCTAGGAGCGCTCATATGCTGAAGAGGAGGGAGTTGCCCTTTGCTGGTCAGGCAGCTCCAGCCGCAGCAGCACAGCCCTAGCCAGGCCTCCCTGGGCCTGTGGCTAGACCCTGCCCCATAACCAGCATGTACCTCCCGTGGCACCAACCCACCCCCCGCTAAAGAAGGAAAAAAACCCAACCCAAACCAAACCTGTGCCTTCTGGATGCTGCAAGAGGTGGCCCTGACCTTCTCCTCCCTCCATCCACACGTACTCTGGCCTCTGGCAA